ATTGTATCTGTATTTTACCAAAAACAAAAAAAAAATACCACAAAATATGCATGAATTATGTAAGAATACAAAGACGAATTATTTATCAGAAGCATTGTCTCTTACACACCGAAAAAAAGTAATAAAAACTCTCATAAAAGCAAAATCGCTACAGCGAAAAAGGTTTTGAAAAACCGCATAAATTCAAATCATCATAAAAAAACCGCATAAAAAGAGAACTAAGTGTATACATTTTTCAAGTTTTTTCTCTTTGTTTTGTTTTAAATATGTATTAAAAGATGTTGTGCATTTTTATTCTAAAAAACAAAATTGTATGTTAGGATTCGATGCTTTAGAAATGTCAGGATTTTTTTCCACAGAAATCTGCTCACCGTAGGCATAGTCGTTGTGCTGCGTATGCAGTTACAGTTGTGCGGCTATACTCAATCTCGCTACTCTTGCGCCCTCGTTCGGGAACTCTGGACAACGTGAGCAACCTGTGCGAGATTCGCTAGTCAATTCGAGTAGAGCCTTGGGTCACGACAGAAAGAGAGGGAGCTTCGGCGGAGCCAATCCAACTTATTCGGTATGAGGGCTCACTGAAGTCTGTATTGTTGGTTCACTAGTGGAAGGAAGCGGCTCACTTAATATATGTATAAACGTGTATTCGGTTAAAACCCATACCAGAAATGGGTTATTCACAGGACTCGGGACGTCCCACAATATACATATGTAAACCAATGAAAATACCTAAAAAGCGACGAGCCTGACCTTCTATAAGGAAGGAGCCTCTATCCAACTGCTGGATGTGGTGGAAAAATGCCAGGCTGAAAGCACCGCAGTACAGGAAATGCGATGGGCGGGGCATGACTGCAGCGTGCGGCATTTATTAATTTATTACAGCTGCCATCAGACGGAGAACAAATTTAGTGAGAGACACCTCGTCTCCAGGTTAATCCCCATCAGTGAATGAATTACCACAGTTTTATCATGTTTGGAAAGAGGGACGATATGCTTCGAGTGTTCTTGACGTGTGTTCCATCCACACCTGTATATACCTGTTCGAATTGTATAAGATTTTATTCGGATGGTTTTTAAGACAAAACATATGATATGAGGGGGCTAACGCATAAAAACAACTGGGTTTTTTGGTTTGGGACAGTCTAATATACATATGTATATCGGGTTTCGTTGTTTTAAAATGCTTTTCACTTCAACAATATTCTCACTGCAAGAATTCATTTTTTGAATGTTTACTTTTTTAAAGTTGTTTTAAAGAAAAGGGCATTCTTTTGTGAACTAGTGGTGAAAGATTTGGTCTGAATTTTTTTTAATAGGATTTTTTTTACAGGAACCACCGTGCAGTGTGGGCGCATTTTTACCGCGAGCAAGTCCGTATGTACTATTTAAAAAGGCGTGTTCATATGTACATGCGATACAAAATAACAAAAAAATGAAAGGAAGAAAAAATACGTAAGCTCTCGATTTTCACATGCATCTGCCATCTGAAAAAATGCCGGCGGTTAGGAAACAGCACATTTGGCTGCCATTTACGCGTGTGACTGACTGCACTTGGTTACGATTCAAAGGTATGGCAATATATGGAGAATGAGTCAAGGTTAGAAAGTGTCACCTGTGGGTGTGGGAATTCGTGGGAAGCGTATTAGGTTAGGTTAGGTTGAAGTGGCTGCTAGGCCCAGAGGGCGCCAGCACACTTAGGCCCGATCAGGGCCCATTGTGATACCACATGGATCCAAAGAAAACCCCTATTCCTTAAACCAGTTTGTGGAGTCTGCAAACCTTAGCAACTGCCGTATTCCAAACTTAGCAGTCGCGCTTAGATCGTCTAGAAGACCTATACCTAGGAATTTCTGTCTTTTCCTGCCCAGTGCTGGGCAATCGCAGAGTAAGTGCCTTATTGATTCAGGCTCTTCTTCGTCATGGCAGCTCCTGCAGTAGTCGTTGTGACTAACCCCGAGGCGTTCTGCGTGCCTTCCTATCAAAATATGTCCTGTGAGCAGACCAATGGCCAGTGACATATCGCCTTTATTGAGAGTGAGAATTTCTCTCGATCTCCGTACATCCCATTTTGGCCATGTAAGCTTCGTTGTATTACAGTTTTCAGTGCGCTCCCATCTGGAGGCCGCTTCTTCAAGGAAGTTCTCCCTTAGTAAGAGCTTGCAGGAAGCGAGTGGCATACCCACCCTCTTCCAGGCTGGTGAAAGTGGAGAGGAAGTACCCGCCCTTGCAAGCTCGTCTGCCTTCTCATTTCCTGGTATGTCACTGTGCCCCGGTACCCATACCAGGTGCAAAGCGAACTGCTCTGCCATCACGTTAAGTGATTTGCGGCAGTTGGCAACTGTTTCCGAATTTACAGTGACAGAGTCAAGCGCCATAAGGGCCGCCTGGCTGTCTGAGTATATATATATTTCCGTAGTGGCGATAACAGCTAGTTTTAGGCTGTCAACGGCTTCTTGTATGGCTGCCAATTCGGCTTGAAAGACACTACAGTGGTCAGGTAGTCGGAATGATCTTTTTATTCCCAATTTCTCCGAGTAGACGCCTCCTCCTACCCTATTTTCTAGTTTGGAGCCGTCCGTGTAGAATCTTATGGCATCTTTAGACCCCGGAACTCCTTCGAGCCATGATTCCCTGCTAGGTAGCATTACGCTATAACCTTTAGTGAAAGTGAGCCTTGGTACACAGTAGTCCTTTGTACTCGGTAGTTGTCGGTTTCTCAGAATTGTAGTGTGACCACAGCGAGCCACTTTCCAGCTTTTAAGCCCCTGTAGTCTTAGGGCTGCAAACGCAGCGTATTGTCGTCCCATGATATCTATGGGTATGATGTTGAGGATCGTGTTCATTGCCATAGTAGGTGTTGTGCGGAGAGCACCACTAATGCAGATCAGGGCCGTTCTCTCCACTTTTTGTAATTTAATAATGTTTACTTTCTTCTCCAGCACTGGCCACCATACCACTACCCCGTACAGAAGTATGGGCCTCACCACGACGGTGTATATCCAGTGCACTAGCTTCGGGGTTAAACCCCATTTTTGGCCGATTGCTCTCCTGCAGCTGTATAGGGCAACCGTGGCCTTCCGCACCCGCTCTTCGGTGTTTTGAATCCAGCTTAATTTTCTATCTAGGACTATCCCCAGGTATTTAGCGGATTCGCTTAATTTTAGTGTGGTCTGTGCCAGCCTTGGTGTTATCAATGGGGGGATTTTGTACCTTCTTGTGAACAGTACAAGTTCTGTCTTGCTTGGGTTTACCCCTAGCCCGTTATTTTTTGTCCAACTCTCGACTTCCTTCAGTTTTACCTGCATAATATCACATAGAGTCTGTGGAAATTTCCCACTTACTGTTAGTGCAAGATCATCCGCATACGCAATAACCTTACAGCCACCCCCCTCCATGCCACACAGCAGTGAGTTTACCGCTGCGACCCATAAAAGAGGGGATAGGACTCCCCCTTGCGGGGTGCCCCTCTCTACGAACCTGGTCAACGATACCCCCGCCAGCTCCGCCCGGACCACCCTGCATCGCAGCATTTGGTTTACGAGCGCAACTAAGCGCGAGTCGATGCCCAGGCCCGCCAGTGCTGCCGTTATCGCGCCCGGCATGATGTTGTTAAAGGCGCCCTCTATATCCAGGAAGGCTGCTAGCGTATATTCTTTGATGTCTAGTGATCTCTCTATATACGACACTATTTCATGTAGCGCCGTTTCTGTAGATCTACCTTTCGTATAAGCATGTTGTGTGGTAGAGAGTCTGTCACCAACCGACTCTCTGATACGGACCTCCACCAGTCTCTCCATAACCTTCAGTTGAAATGACGACAAGGTGATGGGCCTGAAATCCTTTGGGTTATTGTGAGACACCTTCCCTGCCTTGGGGATGAACACCACTCCTGATTCCCTCCACTTTCTAGGGATATGGTTAAGAGCTAATACTCCCCTAATTATAGCGTGTAGCCACGCTGAGCTTAGCTGAAGTGTTTGCTGCAGCTGTATGGGGGCAATGCCATCCGGACCTGCTGATTTATAGGGCTTAAATGTCCCAATAGACCAGATGACCTTTTCCCTAGTGAGGAAATCTCCAGTGACCGAAAGATCTCCAGTTAGATGTGGCTGTACCGGCATGCTATCCGTGGCACCCGGGAAGTGTGTGCAAAGAAGCAGATCCAGTGATTCCTCCTCGGTCTCTGTCCAGGAGCCGTCAGGTCTTTGCAAGCATCCTGGGGCTTTCTGGGCAGTACCTGAGAGTATCTTTCTGAGCCTGCCTGCCTCTGAGATAGACTCCACCCCATTGCAGAAGTCTTTCCATGAGGTTCTTTTCGACCTTCTTAGGAGCTTCTTGTACTCCCGTAACGCTGTCTTGTAGGTCTCCCAATGTCCCTCACTACCAGACGCAGTAGCCTGATTGAAGGTTTTCCTGCAGTTCTTGCGTGAAATCCTGATTTCTTCATTCCACCAGGGTGGCTTTTTCCTACCCCGGTGCTGCTTTTTGGGGCATGCAATGTCTATTGCCTTTCTGCAGGCCCCCGTAAAATGGTCGACAAGATATTCCAGCTCCTCTAGGTTTGCTGGAGTAGCCGGCTCTCTATCTTGTGGCAAAAGCCTATCCAGCTCTTTCCGATACCTATGCCAGTTGGCATTTCGCAAGTTTCTAGTTAGAGGAGCCTTGGGCGTTTCCCCTAATACCTCGAATTGGATATATCGGTGGTCGGAAAAGGAGTGCTCCTCAAGCACCTTCCACTTCCCGACCAGACATTCCGCATTCGCAGAGATAAGGGTAACGTCCAGAACTTCCCTTCGGGATTTTGTAATAAAAGTGGGATCATTCCCCCTATTCGCAATAACAAGCTTAGAACTAAGTATGAAATCAAAAAGTGACTCACCCCGTTCGTTATCATCGGAGCTGCCCCAGGTGTGATGGTGGGCATTCGCGTCACCTCCCAAAATTAGCGCCTCTCTCGTGCTGGCCACTAGGTCTTTAATGCAGGTAGTTGGCACCTCCTAGTCATGCGCTAGGTACATGGATGCCATCCTAATTGGTCGTCCGTTTGCACTTAGACTGACCGCTGTTGTGTCCTCGTCGCTAAATTGTGGAAGAAAGAGACACTTTAGTGTGATACTTATCAATATGCACGTCCTTGGTTTCCCCGTTGAGGCTCCACTTACCAGTCTGTAGCCCGGCGCTTTCAGCCCACAAATGTTTTGTCCCACCACCCAAGGTTCTTGGATTAGGACGATGTCGGCTGCCCCTTTAGCTGTTAGACGGAGCAGCAGTGCAGCTGAAGCTGCTTTACAGTGGTGAAGGTTAATCTGCAGTACCTTCACCATCTTGGCCGTTATCGCCCACGTCGCCTATTAGGGTGGAGTTGACCGCGTCTTCCGACATCTCGATCAACTCCTCCTCCGTATAAAGCCGAAGCATGCGTCCGACCCCCAGCGAAGACGTCGATGAGGCATAACCCCCGGTCAGGTCGTCCATCGGATCAACCTGCTCGGATTCTTCCTCCATCTCCACGTCGCTGTTGGCCTCTTCCGGCTCTACCTCCGCGATCAGGTTCCTCGCTGCGTTTACGTCGTTGCTGTAGACCTTAATTTTGGCCATGTCACAGCCGTAACGTATGACCCCGCTCTTTTGCTCCAACAACTCTATGGAGTCCTTATTTAGAAGCAGGACAACCTGCATCGTCGCTTTACCGCTTTCGTTGATTTTGACCACCTTCCAACTATCGGTAGGTAGCTCCGGATTATAGAGCCTTATGGTTTGGAGGATCCTTTCTGGCTCCGCTGGCTTGCAAGGCAACCATGCTCTCGCTCTCGGTCGCACCGGTAGGTCCTTGAAGTCGACCGCCCTGAGCTTCGCACCAGGGTAGACTTCTCCAATACCTGCAACTGTTTTCTTGTAGATCTCCGCTGATCTGGCATCCTCGCATGCTATAACGCGGATGTTATTTTGGAACCACCCCGCTCCCTTGCAGGTTGGCGGAGGTCCCGGATTCTCCAACATAATGTTGATAGCAATGTCGGCCATCGCGGCCTTAACCCACTTCCATTGCTGCCTCAGGGTGAGGCTGTCTTCATTGCTCTCATCGATGACGCCGAGCAGGATCTGCTCCTTGGCTACTTCAGCAAAAGAAGGCCCCTGCGTTCTGACCCTCTTTGCGTATTGGTTGGGCGTATTTTCCCCCGATCTATTGCGCTTACTGGAGGGCGCCTGCGGCTGCTTCTCCTCCGGCTTGCGGTAGTCGGGCAGGACTGCCTTTGCCCAGTCGATTTCTGTGAGGATCTCCTTCACATGCTCTTCTTTCGCCTTGCTACAAAGGTCAGGCGTTGCGGTGAACCTTTGCAGGATTCGAGCAGCTAGCTTCCTCTGCCGATAGCCCGCTGCAGCTGGTTCTGGCCTCTGGTCAGGCCTCGTGAAGGCCGTGGGTGTCGCGGGAGGACCGCCCGGGGCCTGCGCCCCAGATTCAGCCTTATCCCCGGCTGCAATCTGCATGCCAGGTTGGCGTCCACTGGTGCCAGGAGTTTCCCGGGGTGGACTCCTTTGAGCAGCCCCACCGCCACTTTCCATCGTTTTTGCGAGAGCTTGGCCCGGTTTCACCATTGGCCTTGGTTTCCCGCTATTTGTCACCGCACTACGGCTGGTGGAGGTACTCTGCATCGCTTGAGCTCCTTGTTTAGTGGGCCGAGACCCTTCCGACGCTTTAAGGGGGCCGGTCCCTTTAAACATTGTTTTTGATGTTGTTGTTGCTGTTTTTGTTGTTGTTGTTGTTAATTGTTTCTTTTCCATAATAGATCCCACGGGCTGCGGAGAAAGGGGTTCGTCCACCCGGGCAGAGATCCGCGATGCCCAGGTAAGGCCTACTTACATCCTGGGTGTGGCCGCCTCCCAGAGGGCTCCGTTCGCGACTGGGCTATTTAGGGGCCCCCAGCCTGGCCGATCCTCGGTACGGTGCGCGTGACGCCTTGATCCAGCCCCTTCAGACCTCCAAGCCACGATCAGAAACCATTTCCATATGACTACGCTATTAAGGAGTTTAGCACATAGCACTGATTCCTGATCTTAGCTGAGCACCATTCTGACATCGCACAGAATCCTCTGTAGTGCCCATTACCAGTCAGCACCCTCGTGGAGGGTTCAGCCGGAGGATTTTTTGCCGACCAGGGAAGCGTATTAGTCTGCGTGTTTTCCCTAGAGCTGAAGGGCAAATTCTAAAAAAAAAAAAATTGAATACAAGGAAACGTAGCTAGAAAATTGCACGCGGAAGACACGCGAAGTGCTAAGAAAAGCGAATAGAAGAAGCGGGAGTAGAACGGAAGGTACTTGCAAACGACAACGTCAACATCGCCAGGGACGTCTTTTCAAGTCGATTTGACACATTGATTGATCCTGGGTATAGAAAAAGAACGTTATTTCGCGGCTTGCCTGCACCTAGCTAGCTTTACACCCAATTGTACATAAAGCAGCCGAGCAAGCGAAGGTGTTCGATGGAAGATTTGTGTTGCAAGTAAACATGGACATGTTTGAGTAAGAATGCGTGTGTGTGTGTGTGTAAGTATTTTGAAGGCTTTAGGGAATTAAGCTTGTGATGAGGAACTAAATAAAGAGCTGCTATCATGCCTTTTCGCTACGAGCTCCCCTAAAGGACTTCGCGTAGGATGTATGCTTGAGAAAACGTGCACATTTGTTTGGAAGAGGGAGAAGGAAGGGGAGGTGGGCCTAGGCATGCTGACGGTGACGGAAATTCGCTGCGGTTTGTGCGCTGTAAACTTCAAAAAACATGTCGACATACTCGCTCACCTGCATAAAAAGCAACGCATGTCCTACAAATAGCAACATTTTTTAACATACATAAGTAACGAATCGTACAAATTGAAAAGTGGCGATAACCGTAGCAGACTGGCGCGAGATGAAGAAAGCGTTAGCGGTTGATTGTCGTTGATTTGTTGTTCTTGTTGGCATTCACCCGAAATGGGTTATGTGGCACGTACAGCGCGAAGGACTACACACACACACACACACACACACGTTAGTGAAGGGTATAAAATCGTCAAACGTTAAATCGTGCGCAAGTAATCGTTGTTAGTTATATAACATTCAAGTTGTTACGCTCGAAGTGTACAAATTTTTGCATATCTTGGCATAGCAGCCAAGTAAGTCTCAGCAGCAGGAGGATGGCTTCAATGAGAAGAGTGGGAAACGACAAGTTAGCAGCTACATAGCTGAGTGTTGCGGTTTTTTAGCTGAACTCTAAATCCCCCACATTCATTTCGCCACTTCTTCTCGTTTTTTTTTTGCCTTTTGCTTTTATGCACTTTGCAATTTCTTACATTTCAGTTAGTCGTTATTTTCGAGAAAATATTGAAGCATGTCAAATGGTGATTTTGTATGCAATATGCAATTCATCAAAATCACCACTTAAATTACTTTTAATTCATTGAGTTCAACGCGCAAAGTAGCAAGCTATCAACCGACCAACCAACCAAGCAACCGTCCCAGCAACTCAAGCTGCTAGTTGTGTGCCACTCCGGTGTAGCGTAAAAGTTTCAAGGATCAATCAATGCCGTTCGTAAATCCCCATAGGATTTAGTGAAAAGTGTATTGAAAGTAAATAGTGTTTTTTTTTTTGTTGGCGTATATGAAAATAAGGATTATGGGAATGTGTTTCTTGCGCAAGTTTCTATGTACATAGCTTACGTTTCTAGTCTGCACTGGAAAGAAATTTGTTAAGTTATAGAGATTTTGTAATAAAGCAAATACATAGCAAGTATTTAGTTGGGTGGATTGATGGTAGAAATTGAAGTGTTCATTAAGTAATTGGATCAGTAGTACATATGTACATACATATATAGGATAGGAGTATTAGTTTTAGGTGGAGTGTATAGACGTTTTGTATTTTATAGGAATAATAGTTATGGACTTACGTTTGTAATGCCCTTTTTATTTAACAACAATTTTATGCTTTGGATAAGTTTTTTGAAAAATTAGGCTTTCTCTAATACCATGTTCTGACCGGGTTTCGACCTAAACCTTGTGTTTTCGTCCATGTAAAATCTGTCAAACGAAAACCAGTTTTCGCTGAAAACTACTGGCGTTATTACCATATCGAAAGGGAAATAATGCCCACTGGAAAAAGGCAATAAAGCCCGCGGGCTTAATTCCTTTTTTGAAAAGGCAATAACGCCCGCTGGCTTTATTTCTTTGTTTTAGGAATTAAAGCACATGGGCGTTATTTCCACGGGCCTTATTGCACTCTATTATGTTATTATTAATATTCTTGACGAAGTGTTAAAAAATTGGCTAAACTAAGTTGAGTTGGAGAAACCAGCCTCTAGAGTTTATTCCCAAAACTAATTCGGGTCAAGGGAATTTTCAATGACAACACTGGTAAATGCGGCCAGCTGTTGGTTGTTGTACAAGTAAGCAAACAAAGGTAGTCAGCTTGGCGTCCGCGGTAGCCGAGTGGTGAGAGTCGCGTACTACAAGGTTGTAGGTCCCAGGTTTGATCCTCGGCTCGAGCGATTGCCAAAAATATGGCATATATATCATTATGGAATCAACACATATATATTTAATTTACCAATATTTTTTTATTTTGGAAAAAATGGCACCATTTAAAGATTTATTAGATCTGAATCAGGTTTTATTTCTCGCAAATCATGTATGTCACTTGTGGAAATTATGTTGCGTGCCAGACTTATTGCATTTGTAAATATTTGTTCCTCCTCAAAGAATTAGAACTTTGCACAGATTTCACAAGTTGATGCCTTTAGCAGCTCGCTGACTTACTGACTGAATTACTGAGTTGCACGCACATTTGCGCACACCGCAACGGCAACAACCTTGTTTGGCCAACACAACTTCCCTTTCTGATTTCTATTTAAACGCTGCTGCTTTAGTGCTGGTCGTAAAGCTTGCGTTAACAAATATGTATTGCCCCAGGACCACCGCAGGCGTCTCAAATCGAAAGCAATGACGCTGTCAACTTTTAACGCGTTTTCCTAACCATCAAAGTTCGAATGACTTTGACAGCCCGTAATGGAATTTGATACACAGAATGCGCCTTGACGTGGGACACCACGAAAGTGCTGCCGGCGTCGCAATGGAGTTTCAGTTCCCTCGTTGTCAATGCCGCTACAATTTGTTTTTTTGTTTTCTGAAAAGGGCATATCCAATCAAGCATGTGGCAAAAGATTGCGGCAAGAATTTAAAGAAAGCAAGAAGAGGAAGAAAAACGTCTATTTGATTGGCATTTGATTGAAGCGATGCTGAAATAAAAGAGCAGGGCCAAAAATCCTTTATTTTGAAGACGTTTCGCGCGCGGAAGAAGAGCAGTTGCCGAAAATGTGGCGACCATAAGCAATGAAACAGTTTAGAGCGGAGCAATAATGCTGTTGCGTACGAGCAAGGCACATTTACGAGGTAGGGACAAATTGAAAAACGTCAAAATAAGAGTGAGAGCACAAAAATTATTTTCTTAAGGCATATATGTATTCTCCCGCTACCTTTTAGGAATGTAGGAAATACTTTAATTAGTATCCTTGGTTACTATTTTAGATGTATTTTCTAAATTCGGGATTTTGGGACTATAAAAAAAAATATTAAAAATAAATAAGGAAAAAGTTAAAATATCTGTTGGACCTACATTACTTCTTATATAGGGGTCCGATGACCCCAACTGCAGGTAGCTAGTTTTTTTCCGTGGCACTCAAAGGGTTAATTTATTTATTCAATGCTGTAGTGCGCGTTACCCTGTTTCCGACCTACATCAAAAACAAAAAAAGCAAAAAGTTTTCTCTAATAACGATCACCCGTCGGCAGGAAATGACAAACCTCTGAGTGTACATATCTCAGACTAGACCAATCTCTTTAGCTGCTTCTTCTAAGCTGAGCTAAGTTTCAGACCCACTATATCGATATGATCTGCATACGCCAGCAGCGTCATTATTTTTCTATATATGGTGCCGCTGCGATTCAGATTGGCAGCTCTTGTTGCGCTTTCTATCATCAGATTGAAAAAATTGCACGACAGCGACCTCGTTTGGTTTCAAACGACGTGGAGAAGTCGTTTCCAATTTGAACGGATCTTAATATTATGTTCAAAGTATGAAAAGTATTATGCAAGAACAACAATAGTTTACTTTGCTGAAAAATATTACTACCACCACATGCCCTCATCAGACGTCTTCATTAGCACAGGAAAATTAAACGTTTTTTCTCTAAATGATTACGTTTTTGCCGAAAATATAGGCTAGATTAAAATGAATGGTCATTTGGTAGTATAGCGGGTTCTTGATAAGTCAGAAATGAATTTTGCCTTTATAAACCGGAATCGCACACATTAGCATTACTGGTCTCCAATCGAAGATGTTTCGGGAGTTAAAGCTTCTAGGTACATAAGAATAACTAAGCTCTCTCTCTATGGTGTAGTGAAGCAGACTCCCAAGCTAGTTCGGAAATACTACATAACGGACTTGTTTTACTCTGGGTGACAGGTCACACGTGAGTGTTTAGTAATGAGGCATCTGTCCATGTGGTCAGCGAGTGCTCGGTCGGGTATTCTCGGTCCG